CGCGCGCAGCCGCGGGCGCTCGACCCCACCCGAACGCTCAGTCAGGGACCTTTGGGAGCTGCGCAATGCGTTGCGCAGCCAAGCATGCAAACGCCTTGGTTTCGCCAAGGGCTATGAAGGGACGCGTGGATATTTTTCCCTTTTCAAATTTCATGTTAGTGGTCTCGTGCCGAACAACGACAGATCTTATTGAACTGATCTGCTCAACAAAAAACGCGCGCAAAATCCACTGCGGATGCCCTCAGAGGAAAACGAACAATGGAATGCTGCATAAGCGGCGCCCGCGTTCCGCCCGCAGTCCAACTGCAGACAAAACCACAAATGATCAGCCCACCGGGAAGTTCACGAGCATTGCGGCGGGGACGGTCATACATCGAGCGAGGGCAGCGGAATTATAGCCGTCTGATGGAGCCCAGCCAAGGGCTACAAACGCACAACCGCAAACTGGAGGCAAAGAAACAAGCAGTGCGAAAGAAGGTCACTGCGAAACCAGACAGATGTCTCCAGGAAGGCGAATGCCTGCCAACGCGCCGCTTGCAATTGTTAATCACACTGGCCCGCGGTAAACCCAGCGGCAACGCCCAGACGCCAACAATAACACCTCGACGCCCGGTGAAGTCATTGACGCGCTGCTCAAATCCTCGCGAGCCAATCCATGAACAACCACAAGGCGAGTCGCCCTGATCAAGGCCGGGTAATCGGGCATGCGGCGAAAATAGCGAGCCGCATCCGCATTCGCGGATGATGAGGTGCAGGAAGCGGAGCAAAGGAGAGGAGGGCGGAAAATGAAAATCATAATGAACACGGCGAAGAGAGGGAGTACGGTGATAGGAAAGACTGGAAACGTGCAAGAGCATGAGCAGGTAGGAACACGGAAGAGGAGCTCGGGGGGGGCAGGAAGAAGCACAAGAAGCCTGAGGGAGGCAAAAGGCGCACCAGTGATCCGCGCGGAACGCGCGTGCGCCGCGCGCCCTCACCAGCGAGGAAGTAGGAAGAGGTGGGAGGATCAAGGAGCAGGAGGAAGTAGGAGGAAATAGGAGGGGCAAGAACACGCAGAAGAAAGCATTTGCAGACTCGAATCCCAAGCAAGTTGCGCCACGCATGAAAGCGAAGTGAAGCAACATGCAACGCAGGAAAAAAAAAACGATGACAACCGTTACATTAGGGAAAAGAAAAGGGCGCAGGAGCAATTAATCGGAAGATGCACAGGAACGGGGAGGGGAGCAGAAAAAGGAGGAGGTCACAGAAGAGGGACGAGGAGGAGGAGGAGGAGGACAAGGAAGGGAAATATAAAGGATAGAGAGGAAAAAAACACGCTGACGACGACGAGCATCAATCATCGAGGATCTCGAGTCGTTCGCTTTAGGTGCCTGCGGGACGCCCCATCAACGTCGGCACATCGGTGCCGCCGCGGCGCTCTCTTAGGGCAATTCTGGCTGCCTTTGGCGGCTGTCTTGGAGCCCCTTGGGGCCCTCTTCGGGTCGTCTCGGGGATCTCCTGGGCCCCTCTTGGAAGCCTTGGGGGTCATCCTGGGGCCATCTTGAAGCCGCCGGTCAAAGAAGTGGGGCCCTAGCAACGCCCCATTCCTTCTCGCGCCCCCCAGTCGCCAAATGCGGCCCTCTTGCGACGCCCTTGAAGCGTTTTGGGCCGCTCTGTGGCGCTCTTGGAGCCGACTTGGGCCCCGGTGGCCCCCTCTCAAAGCAAGTTCGAACCAACTCGCAGCCATCTCGAGGCCTCTAGAAATTACGGAAAGCAAAAACGCGAGAAGGAACAATTGAAGCGCACAGTGATTGTAAAGGAGTTGAACCTGTTGGGGGCCTCCTTCAAGAGCTCGAAAGACAATCGCGGGCTGTCACGAAGCGGTCTTGAGGAGGCTTGGAGGCACATTGGAAGCAAAATTGTACCATCTGCAAGTATATGGAGCGATCTCGGAATCCTTCTTGGGTTGCCTGCGGTTCCTTTGGAGCCATCTTCGGCCATTTCGGGCGCCCCACTGCCCCGCGGTCACTCTCTGCCCACGCCCGGGGACGAGAGGGCAGGGGGGGGCCCCCGTCCCTGCCAGGGAGAGACGCGCGGATAAGCTAGCCCGTTAAACCACCACCCACGCTCTGCATGGCTGGTGGGATTGTTCCACGGCCGCCTGGGAATACTATCCCGGATTCTCGAGTGAATTCTGCCCAGATTTTTCCAAATCCAAATGTGAATTTGCCCCGGAAATCGCGTGAATTGTTCCGGGTGCCCTCCGGATTTTTCCGCGCGTGTTTTTTCGATGCGCGCGCCCAAGGAAAAATCCACCAAGAATTCGGAGAGGTATTCAAAACGAGTTTTTGTTTTTCTCCCCGAAGTTTTCACTAGGCCGCGCGCGGAGCCTGGAAGGAGGGCGGGGGGGGGGAGAAGTCACAGGGAGTGGAGGGGCACGCCACAGGAGAGGGCCGGAGGGAGACAGGAATCCCAGCACCCCTTTAAGCGTGAGCGGCGTGACGAAGTAATTCATCCAAGCCCACTCTTCCCCTTCATAGACACGGTTCCCCATTTCCCCGCCCAATCCTTCATGCGCGGGAAGGTAGCCGCGGGTCGTTGGAGCGCCCAATACGGCCCAAAATGTATCCGAGATGGCTGCAAGGAGCCCAGATACGCCTCCAATATCGCTCAATGCATCCCAGGACGATTCCGAGTAGCCTCCAACATGCCTCTGAGAGTCGTCAAGACCGCTTCAAGACGGCCCCGCGCGCCCTTCGAGCTCTCCAAGGAGGCCTCCAAGACAAAAGTGAAAACCATCGCGTGCGATGTGTTATGTCTCGTCGCCTTTGTGTTGTCCATGGGCTCTTGAGGCCTCAAGATGGCCACGCTGGCCTGAGATGGCCCTCCAGAAGAACCCGACAGGCCCCAAGACGGCGCCGAAAACGCGCAAGAGCAGCCGAAGAACGCCCCAAGAGAGCGCCAAGAGGCGACGTGGGCGGGCCCCCGAGGCCACCAAGACGGGCCCGCGAGACCCCGAAGAGGATCCCAAGGAGGCCCGAAACAGCCTCAAGAGGACCCCGTATGCTCTCCCAGAATGGTTCCAAATTAGCTCCACAATGGCCCACAAATCACCCCAAGGGGCTTCTAACAAGAGCCGCGTGCGAAAAACAAACAACATCCTCCATGATTGATTCTGGCCGTCGTCGTGACTTTTTCTCTCCCATCCTTCCTTTTCCTACTCCTCGTCCTCATCCCGCCCCTCCTCCGTTTCCTCGTCATCCTCCTCCTCGTCCTCCTTCCCCGCTGCTGTTAATCCTCCGATTCCTCCTGCGCCGCCCTCACGTTTCTTGCGTGAACCGCGTCGCCCTCTTGGTTGAGCACCTTGCTGGCACACGTTTCTGATCAACACAAGTTGCCTGGGCACCGTCTCTGGAACTGCTTCGTCCTGAGCGTTCTTACCCCCATGTCCTCCTACCTCCCCCATGCTCCTCCCACCTCCCCATCTGGCACATTCCTACATCCTCGTTTACGAAAGGATGCGGCGCGCTGGTGTTCTGAACGGATCACCAATGCGGCTGCTACCTCCCCCTGGCTCCTCGTAACCCTTTTCCCCCCCATCAGGTCCCTCATCATCCTTCCGACCTTCTCATGCTCTAGCATGTTGCTGTTTCCTCCAGCACGCGTCCATCCTTTTGCTGTTCCTCTTCTTTCGTTACTACTGGTCCTTCGCCACCATATTTGTTCCTTCGCTTCCCCCACCTCCTCTTCCTCCTCCCGCACAGAACCAGTGAAAACACATTCGGCTCGCTGCGGCGCCGCATGCTGCTACACATGCTGATCGAGGCAACTCGCCTGGTGATTGCTTTTGCCTTGGCTGGCGGAAATACGTGAGGCGCCGGAAATGAAGGCAAAAAGGCGGATGAACAGTAGAATCCCGCGGACCACGGCCGAAACGCGTCAGAACATATGTGAAGAGACAGGTCTGCAAGTTGTTTTGGACCCCTACAAAGCCTGTCTTGGGACCCTAGGGACTGCTTGCAATCCTTCTCGGGACCTGCTGGGCTCTCCTCGAGCTCACTTGCAGTTTTCCCGGCGCCCCGTTGGATCCTGCCGCAGGCCCTGAAAAAAAGAAGATGACAGCGGGAGGGAAATGAAGAGAAAAACAATGCAGGCAAGAGGAATAAGATAAATGAATACGACGAGGAAGAATCAAGGGCACGGAAAACATTCGAAATTCGCTGGCCACGCGGCATTCACACGAACGCCCGAGCCACATGATCGATTCACGTGCGCATATCAGAAAAAAAGGAAAATAAAAATGAAAAACGAAGACGCAAATCCACGCTGAATTCACTTTTAGCACCGGCGAAACCAAAACGCCACCGCGCTGCCACCCGCGCAGGGCAATTCGCCAAGGAGCAGCGCCGCCGGGCACCGCGCCGACAGACGCTCCCGCCAGCCCGGGCACGCGCGTGCAGGGCGTAAACCCCTGGCGACTTCGGCGCTGAGCTCGGAACGGCAGCCAGGCGCGGAGCACGAGGGCCCGGCCCCCCCCCCCCCCCCCGGGGGCCCCGGATCTGGCCGGCCTCGCCCCCGCGCTCCTGCGGAACGCAGACCGCAGCCCTCCCACCTGCTTTCCAGCGGCTGGAGTTCCGGTCAGCGCGCACGTGCGTGCGCACTGCAGCCTGTTGTATGTACACATATATATCTCTATATATATATATATACAAAAACTGTACACACATATAGACACATAGAACTACACATAGAAATATAACTACAGGTAAACATCTGGCGGCGGGCACAGGGTGGTACGGGGATGGGGGGGGAGGCTTCTTAGAAGGAGGCTGCCTCTTAGAGGCGCCAGCCCTGCATCTACAAACAAGGCCAGCGCCCTCTAAGAAGAGGGAGTGTTTTGAAGAGGCCCTCCACCCTCCCACAGTTCCCCTTGGCGCATGACTGGTATACATACACATTCACGCCTGCTTGCTTCATTGAGTGATCAAAAGAGCTGCCGATCCCTGGCGCGAGGGCCGCGGCTCCTCGTTCAGTTGGCTGTCCCCGTCCTGGTCGGCCTCCCTGATCATGAGTATGAGGTCGGCCTCCGAAAAGTCCTGGCGTGGCGCGGAACCACAGAGCACCGCGTGCGCCGCCAACGAAAATGAGGACCCGAAAAAACGGCATAAGCATAAACTGGCGGAGCTGCTCGCCTCCCTGGGCGGCGCTGGAGGCGCCGCCGGAGTCCAGCACCGATCCAACAGGTCCGCGCCGCGGAGCTTCGAACGTTTACCTTGGCGAGGACCTCGGAGAAGTCAGGGAAGGAGGTGGGTATGACAAGAACACGGCCCTCTACCTTGCTCGACAGACGAAGAGAGAAGGCACTGGGATACACCCGAGAAAGCCGCACTCCCCCAAGAGCCCGCCAACCCTTTTTTCCAAACAAGGCGCGCGGTGTCTTGAAGCGCACACGGTCGGCCGGCGCTCGCGTGGAGCTGACTCCGATGCAGGGGAGAAAGAGGGGAAAGAGAGAGAAGAGAGATGATGGAATGAAGAAGACGCCATGACAAGGTCATATCAGAGCACCTCCTCCTTCCTGAGCACCGCGGGCACCACGACGATGAGGCCGAGCGCCACGACGAAGAACACGGAGACACTCTGCTGCGAGACAAAATGACCGTTCAACATAATGCGCAACCAACATTCCAAGGACTGTGAAACGTATAACGACGATAGGGAGAGAGCGAGAGAGAGAGAGACACAAACCAAAAATGATAAAGAGACGGGAGAGAGGGGGAAATCCGCCGACCCCTTGGGGATCATCGGCGTGTGAGATGCTTCCCCCTCCCCAAACCCCTCCCCCGGGAGCCCGGTCCGGTCGATTTGGAGGGGGGGGGGGGTCCGGGACGAGCGCAGCACGGCCGGGACGAGCGCAGCACGGCCGGGACGAGCGGTTCACGGGGCTTTTCCGGGCCCAAGAGGGCCTCAAGACGGGCCAAGAAGCCCCCAAGAGGCCTCCAAGACGGCCCACGAAGGCCCCGAGACGCCAAACGACCGCTCCAAGACGCCCAAGATGGCCCCAAGACGGGCCAAGAGGTCTCCAAGACGGCCCCCGAGGTCCCAAACAAGCCTCCCAAGAGGGCCCCAAGAGTCTAAAATTGTTGATTTTCCATAGTGTTTTTCGATGTTTTTTGCTTTTCCGCCTTTTCGGCTTCCCGACGCTCCAAGACGGCCAAAGAGGCCCCAAAGACAGCCCCAAGATGGCCCAAGAGGCCCCCAAGACGGCCTCCAGACGGCCCAAGACGGCCCCAACACGGCCCAAGAGGTCCCCAAGACGGCCCAAGAGGGCTCCAAGACGGCACCAAGAGGGGCCCAAGAGGGCGACCAAACATGTTGAAACTCTAGCTTTCTGCCCCCAGGAGCCCCAGGGGGCCCCAAGAGTGCCCCAAGAGGCCCCCAGAGGCCCTCACGAGGCCGCCCAGACGCCCCAAGGAACCCCCAAGAAGCACCCCAGAGGCTCCGAAACGGCCCCCAAGTGGCTCCAAAACTCGCTTCCAGAGGCCCCCGAGAAGCGATCCGCGAGATCCCGATACACATACAAGAAGCCTCTCACCCATAACCCATAACCCAGAGCCGTTTCTCCGTGTCCCCCTTCTCCTCCTCCTCCTCCTTTTCCTCCACCTGGGCCCCCAAGTGGTTCCAAACTGCCTGCCATAGGCCCCCGAGAGGCGTGCCGCGAGATCCCGCTACACATACAAGACGCCTCTAACCCATAACCCATAACCCATAACCCAGAGCCGTTTTCTAACCCATAACCCATAACCCATAACCCATAACCCATAACCCAGATTGGCATAAACAAGGGGTCGGCGGTGTGGCGTCAGCCTAAGAATCTAGCTAATAATTAGGCACGCTCGCGCCAAATCTGACACCCTACCCTTCCCACCCATCCGCTCCCACTGCGTAGAATTTGTTCAATCCGCCAACGGGTGTCATAGCGGAAATGGATCCCCAAAAAGGACCCCCATCACGCTATGCGCGGTCGGACAAGAGGGGGCTGTGCACATCGGGGGAGGAGGGGGTGGCGGATGGGCATACGCTTGACTCGGGCGCCCGGCTCGATTTGCCTGGCTCGGTTCGCCCCGGCTCGATTTGCCCAGCTCGATTCGACCGGCTCGATTCGCCCGGCTCGATTCGCCCAGGGCTCGAGCCGCCCAACTCGATCAGCCAGACTCGACTCGCCCAGGCTCCATCGCGCGATGCTCGACTCGCCTCGCTCGTTTCGCCTGGCTCGCTGCGCGCCCGGCTCCGGCCCTCGACTAGCCCTCGACTATAGGCAGTGGCCGCCCGCCCGACACCACCCGCCCCGCCCGACCCGACCCGCCCTGAAGACTCGCGCGTGCCTCGGCACCTCGGTGACGCATCGCACTTCAATGTCCCGCCCGCCCGCCGACCCGCCCCTCAGGGCCCGCCCGCCGGACCCGACCCGCCCGTCAGGGGCCGCCCGCCCGGCGAGGCGAGCCCCAGCGGATCGAGGCCCGGCGAAGCGAGCCAATGCGAAACGAGCCCCAGCGAATCGAGTCCGGCGAACCGACCTCCCGGCGAACCGAATCCGGGATTCGGTTCGCCGGACTCGATTCGCGAACCGGCGAACCGACCTCCCGGCGAACCGAATCCGGGATTCGGTTCGCCGGACTCGATTCGCGAACCAGCGAACCGACCTCCCGGCGAACCGAATCCGGGATTCGGTTCGCCGGACTCGATTCGCGAACCGGCGAACCGACCTCCTGGCGAACCAAGCTGGGCGAAGCGAGTCGGGCGAACGAAGCCCTGGCGAAGCGAGCCCCAACGAACCAAGCCCCGGCAAGCCCCAGCGAAGCGAGCCCTCGGCGAACCGGAACTCCAGCGAGCCGAGCCCGTGCCAGCGGACGAGCAAGAGGATGAGCAGAGGAAAGATGACGATGATGAGGAAGGAACAGTACGAGGCGGCTCAACAGCAGCAGGAGCAGGAGCACGAGGAGCGGGAGGAGCAGGAGGACCAGGGCAAGGCGGAGGAAGTCAAAGGAGGGGGCGGCGACGACGAGGAAGGAATCGGATCCAAAATTGTGGCCTGCCTGGGCGAGAGCGCCATGCTCAACAAAGGGAGCAATGCGTCGATCTGGAAACGAGGCCAACGCGGCAGCGAGGCCACCATTTGCAAACACCGAAACGCTTCGACCGAAAGAAACATTCAGGAAAACCACATTGTGAATTCCTGTGCGTTTATATATATATATATATATACACACATAAGATCAAGAAAAAAAGAAAAAACAAAAAAAACTACATGCTGGAGACAAGCTGCCCCGCCCGGGCTGGATCTGGTAAGGCAAAACACGCATATTCATGTTGACTACTTGGACAAAGCGAGAAAGAAAGATATGGAAAGAGACATAGAGAGAGAAAGTGAGAGAGCGAGCGAGAGACAGCAATAAGGGGCCCAGCTGAAAAAAAACTGCGACATCGCCGTCGGTCTAGCTTGCCAGCACACGCTTTAGCGCACAATGTTGCGGTCGTTCGTGATTGATATCAGCTGAATTCCAAGAACGCATAGCTTACACGTCTAGCGTTTATCCGGCTTGGCCTCAGAATTATTTCCCCGATCGCTGAGCTCCAATGAAGATTAAATATAGACTCGATGTGTGGTTTGAATGTCGCGCTGGTTTTATAGTTGACTGTCACGTTTTTCCTCTGTGGTTGAACTTCATATATAATTTGTATGTACGCTCAGGTGTTTCTATGTAGCGCTGAATCTAGCACTTAGACGCACTGCTCAGTCTTAGCGAGTAACGGTTGCAGGCTTCGCTCATGATTGCAATATCATTGTATACGTTGGTATCGGATACGTGTGGGCATGATTTGTCGTTTGCGATGGCAAACCCACGTGGAAATTAGCCCCCGCGCTGGGCCGTTGGCACCGATTTCCCGCACAATTTGACGCAGGTGGTACTACAAAGCCGCCTTCGACACCAGCTGCTGGACGAGGAGGCCTCCTGCCGGCGTGCGGAGAGGTGATGGGCGTGTTCGCAGACCACGTGCTCACCTGCAGCTGCGGCAGCGACCGCGCGAAGCGCCACAACTGCCTCCAGAACCAGGCCTGGTACGAGGCATTGGCTGGCAGCTACGCCGGGGCAGAACTCGAGCGCCCGGGCTTGCTGCCGCCGCGCACGCCAGGCGAGGGCCGCCCAGCTGGGAAGGCCGGCAACGACGACCTGGACGGCGACAGGAGGCGCCGCGCGGACGTCTTCGTTCCGCGGTGGCGAGGCGGCACGCCAACGGCGTGGGATTTCGCCGTGACCTCGGGCCTCCGCGCGGACCTGCTCGCGACTTCGGCCGCGGAGGGTGGCAGCGACGCGGCGGCGACCCGCTACGAGGAGCAGAAGCGCCTGCACCTGGACACAGCGCGCGGCTGCTCAGAAGCTGGCCTGACGCTCATTCCGATGGTACGCGACGCCCACGGCGGCGGCGGGGGCCGCGAGGCGCGACGCGCTCTCGCGGTGCTCGCCAAACGCGCGGCCGATGCTACTGGAGACAACGCCGCGCTCGAGGCCGACCAGGTTGCCCAGCGACTTTCAATTGCCCTGCAGATGGAAAATGCGCGGGCACTGCTGCGACACATCCAACCGCGAGCGGGCTCGACGGCCGCGCGCCTGGCCGCGGCCACGGCCACAGCAGCTGCCACGGCGGATGCCGTGCAAGCTGCCTTCGCAGGGCCCCGCCACCTGCCCGCCCCCGACCCCGTTCCCGCCGACGACCCCGCCCGCCCCGCCCGACGCCCGGCGGACCCTGCTGCGGCGGCCCCCAGACCCTCAGACACACGACGACCCCGACTACCTCCGGCCCACGACGAACCACGACGACCCCCCGACTGCTGCCAACGCCCCACGCCCCCCCCCCCAGGCGCCGCCCCCGCCCGCCCCCAACGCGCGCGCTTGCCTGCTGCTGCCTTTGTCTGTTTCCCCCCCCTCTACTCCTGAATGTTGGCGTCTGCTCGCCGTGTGTTTCCTCTTCCACCTCCCTCATCTTCCTCCTCTTCCTCCTCCCCCGTCCTCTCGCCCTCTCTCCTCATCCTCCTCCTTCGCTGGCAGGCCCGGGACAGGCTCGTCCTGGCCTGAACTGCTGCGCGAAAGGCTCTCATAGGTCCGGATCCTGCCGTGTGTTGTGCCATGGCAACGGCGCGCTGCGCCGCGGTGCGACGTGGACACCGTTGGATCCTAGACTTGCTAACAGTAGCTTCACTCGTTGGTTTGGCTTAGCCTGTCATGTGTTTCTGCATCAGATCGTCTTAAGCGGGAGTTCTCGCTTCAGCTGTGGATTGCATGAGCTCTGTCCCCAAACATACTCAGCGCTCTCGCAGTCGTCACAGAATTTGCTGAAAGCTGTGTTGTGTAAATTGAATTTCGCGTGGAATTCCAGAATCAGGCTGCGATCGAACTAGAACGTCAGCTTCACATGTAGCTTGATGATTAGCACGAGTTTTGTGCTGCTACTGCCTGTGTTTATCGCTTCAGCTGTAGCATTCGCTTCAGCCCTTGATGTGGACTTGGCGGGGCCTCACACCAGGACACCACGGGACATCCCGCGGAAACCCCCACGGGCAACATGAGGCACCACAACGGGACACCATAAGGGGACACCCACCCGAGTGTGACCGAAACGACCTGGCGGCCAGACTCCCGCGAAGAGCTGCGTGCACGCGCCTCGCCAACGACACGAAGCACCGAATCCCGACTTCCCGGCGGGAGTAGCCTCGCAGAAGTTCTCAGACCCTGAACCTCCAAGTGATCACGACTGCTCCCGATGTCCCACCCCGCGGCTGCAGCGGCTCCTGGCCCACCTCCTGACTACCACGCATCAGATTCTCCAACGTGATCCTCCCGGTGCCCTCGCGGTCAAAGAATCGGAAGAGCGCCATCATCTCCTGGTCGATCCGACAGCACTCTGCGCTGATAGAGCATGAATACTATGGCGAGGCGATCCCGCCCTTCTGACTTCTACGAGCAACGCCACGGCCTCACAGAAAGAGCACTCTGCGGCCAAGTCGGAGAAGCCAGAGCTTGGCCTGGGGTCCAAGAGGCCTGCTGGGAGAGCCGCTGGTAGAAGAATCTCGGATGCAAATGCAAAACAACTTGAGCAGGCAATCAGAGAAGCCAGGAGTCTGAAAGACACCCGGTCCTCGAGAGATCCTGCAAGGACTTCGGTTGTGTGGGAAGCCAGAGTGCAAGCGCTCAAGGTGCACAATCTGAGATGTTGGGTTGGGGGGCAAGGGGGGCCTCAACAAACTGGTAATGCTTGGCCTTCGGCGGTGAGCTAACAGAAGAACAGATAGGGAGAGAGGGGAGAGACTGGGCAATGGGCAGCGGGACAACTCCAGCGTAGCAAGCAGTGCGGCAAAGAATACCGAATTGGCGTCGCGAAAGAAAGCAGCGATGGCGAGATGAGGACAGAGAAACATCTTCGAAGCCTCGGGCGAAGCCACCAGGGGGAGGAGGCAAGACTGCAAGCCTTGAACGACGGCAATACCAGACGTCCTCCGATCTGTTTCTTCGATGCGCGGCCCAGATCGAAGACAAAACGCCAGCGGCCCCGCGGGATCTCGCCCGCGAGCACCGGGGGCGTGGCTCGGAGCCCAGGCCTCCAGCATGCCCTGCGATGGTCCCACGGGTCCGCGCTGGAGCCCTCTTGGGGACCTCTTGGGCAGTCTCGGAGGCCCCGGCGGCCAGCCCAGAAGAGCCAGACCCACGGGAGGGTCCCTGGCTGCTCGAATAATGGACGGCCCGTCCGGTCTTGCGAGTGCCCAGAGGACCGAAGGGGCCCCCGCGATCGGCCCAAGCCAGCCCCCGATTCGCCACGAGGGGCCCAGGAGGCTCCCGAGACGGCCCGAAGAGGGGCCCGCAAGGGAGAACTTGAACCGACAGTTGGAGACATCCGCCCAAACATTGAAACCGCCCAACAGGCCCCAAGAGGCCCCCAGGAGGCCCCCGAGAAACCTCGAGGAGACCCCGAGGGGCCCTCAAGAGGCCCTCAAGACGCCTCCAAGAGGCTCCCAAGACGCCTCCCAAGAGACCCTCAAAGGCTTCAAAAAAAATGTAAGAGGCCCCTTGTCCACGACCCAGGCAAGGTGACAAAAAGGGTCGAGGTTCTCGTTTTGTTTCTCTCTCTCTCTCTTTCTCTCTCTCTCTCTCTCTCTCTCTCTTTTTCTCTCGCTCTATCCTTACCTTTCGCTTGCTCTTTCTGTTTATTAATCGCTCTATCTCTCTCTTTAGATTTGTCTCTCTCCATCAACATATATGAGTATGTGTTTTCTCTCTCTCTCTCTCTCTATATATCTCAAGCCTGCATCCCCAGAACCGTCCGCAGCTGTTTGAACCAAGATACGGTAGCGAGACCTCGTCCCCCACGCTGGAAGCCGCTTGCAAGCGACCGATCCTCCTCACGCCTTCGACTGACCCAGTCAACGTAACCAACCCAACGTTCGTTTCGGGGCCCCTTTGGAACATACAGGGGCCCTCTTGGGCCGTCTTGGGGCCCTCTTCGGGGCCTCTGGGGCCGTCTTGGGGCCATCTTGGAGGCTGCCTGGGCCGTCATAGGCCTCGACAGTCGAAATGGGCGAGAACGCTAAAATCGTTCAAAAATCTATGAATGTCAGTGTTTTGGGCCTCTGGAGGTGCTGCTGGGGGCCATAATTGGGGCCCTCTGGGGCAGTCTTGGAGGTCTTCTGGGCCTCTTGAGGCCATCTCGGGCCGTCTTAGTGCCGCCTTGGCCCTTCTCGAGACACCCAACCGCCTGGACACCCCAAAAGTACACCCCGTCCCGTAGTAGGGGCACAAGGACGCAGAGCAGAGCGGAGTGGAGATGGACCAGCGCATTCAACATCCAACCTGCCTCGTAGACTACCCTTCATCATGCTATGCCTGCCCGCTTACTCTCAGTCGAAAGACGGGTGGTAACGTGTGCAGCGGTGTTGATGGCGGGTTGCATCGGGAGCCAGTCCTCTTTATGATCCCTGTTGAGCATCTTCTTCGTCATCATGCTCATGAACTCCTCGCGATCCGGCGGGGAGCGAGGAAAGGAGTAACAAAAACACAAAAGATGTCAGAGAAGATGAGGTCGAGAAAAACGGGGTGTGGCTATCGGAGGGGACGTGTTTTTCCACCAGTTTGGGGGACGCCACCCCGCAGTGGACCAGCGACAAGCCACACCCCGAGAGAAAAGACAAGCCGACGCAGCGAACACGACCAGGAGGAGGGGCAAGCAAGGAGTGAGCAGCAAAGGCGACTGAATCGAGGACGCCACTCAAGGTGACAGATCGTCGGTTCCAAAAATGGGGCCCTGAGGGATGGGGCCGCAAGGATAGGAAGGGACCCCAGGTTGAATGTGCCCTTCTTGAGGCCCCTCCTCCTCCTCCTCCTCCTTCTCCTCCTCCTCCTCCTCTTCCTCCTCCTCCTCCTCCTCCTCCTCCCACCTTTGAGCCGCCGAGAGTCGGTCGACGTGGAAGATTGATAGGTGGGACTCCATCAAGGCCCCATGTTTGGGCGGCCGAAAAAGAGGCGGGCAGGGTGGTACCAAGCATGCGCCCACCGACTGGCACCGACCTGCCGGCCATTTACACTCGTCAGCAGTAGCTTTCAGGATCAGGCCAGCCTCGGCCCCATTGATCCTGCCAAAAACTTGCAGACCGAAGCGATATCCAGCCTCGCCTCAAGTCAAGTGCCCGCTTGCAGCGGTCGCCTGCCCGCCTCCTCGCAAGCCAGCCATGCTTGCTCGTGCACGCACGGTGACAAGGCGAAGAAGCCTGCATGCTCGAACGCGCGCGACCGGCCAGTACAAGGCCCGACCAGGCAGAGGACCGCGGCACTCCCCAAGAGAAAGTTGGCATGTGTTTACCGACACCAAAACACAAGAGGAGGGGGAGGAGGAGGGAGAGGAAAGGGAGGAGGAGGAGGAGGAGGAGGACGAGGAGGACAGCAGCAGCAGGAGTCTGGCATAAACGCCCGAGACGCGTAGCTAGACAAGGAAGAAAAGGCAGTGCAAAACGAGCGAGTTACCTCAGAACTCAGTCCAAGAAGTAGTTATCATCCTCGCATACTGCGGCGGGGCGCTGGGGCCCACGGACGAACAAGTTCTCCTGAGGGCCATGTCATAGTGCCTTCCTTGGGGGCAGCTCCACGTACAATGTTGTTGATGACGTTGCGCTGACTTGGTACCACACGTCCAAGACAAGTCGCCACCAGTTTATTCAGACGACCACATCCGCGCTGAGCAATGTGACCCAAGCGCCCATGGCACCGGAGCTGACCATTCATGAGCGAGCAACGGTGATCACTTGGAGAAGACTTGCCTCGAATAACCATGGAAGCCTGTAGCGTGGCCGTGAGCGATCTTCGATCCTCGATCATCCTTCCCAGACCTCCAACGTCCGTATTGAGACATTCAATGCGGAGATGGTTCGCAGTCGTAGGCCTCTGGGTGCCCTCGCTGAGGCCCCGGGACCGTCAAGAAACGACCCGCGGGGTGAAGAGCCAGCTCTGGGGAAAGGGTCGGGCCATCGGGGGACCCCGTGAAACGAAAATCAAGACATCGGATCTACGGGCGGAGGCGGAGGCGGAGGCGGAGGCGGCGGCGGCGGCGGAGGAGGAGGAGGAGGCCCTCCTCCTCCACCTCCTCCTCGAACCTCGATCCTCGATCCTCCTCTGCCCCGCCGCGGGCCCGGGGAGCGCCGGGGCCAGAGGGGCGGCGCCCCTCCTCCAGGTCGATCTCGCCGCTGTCGTCGGCGTCCACGTCGCGGATCATGCGGTCGATCTCCTCCTCGGAGGTGTCGAAGCCCAGCTGCTTCATCGCCACCTGCCCCGCTTCAGGTGCTTCGCTGCTCCAAGACAGGGAGGCGGCTGGGGCAGGACGGCCCCTCGCGGTGGCCCCCCCCCCCTTGCTGGCTCTTACCTCAGCAGCCCTTCCTCCCCCTCCCCCTCTTCCCGCTTCACTCCCGCCTCGCCAATCCTCACT